GTATTTTACTTTCAGTTTGGGTTTTGTTTGCAGTAATCTTTTTCGTCATTGCGAGATGCTATCCCAGCTGGAGCTGAGCACTGGACAGATAGGTCGTTACTGCAGATATCTGCCACGGTTCTATTCATTCTGCAAGACCTTCAGTTCCAGTGTCAGTGTGGCTCGAGATAACCATACTTTGATCTCGTTTAGAGGGATGCTGTCTCTCAGACTACAATTTTGTAGCTTGGTAAATATGTCATTGCATGGAGAAAGATCAGCGTAGGACAGGAAGGGCTGACTGCAGTTGGTTTTGACATCACATCTCTGTACCAGGTTGGACTGCAGTATAGAGCGGTGAGAACTTCGTCACATTTAGTCCTATTAAAACCTCCCAATGCACTGGCAACTCATACCGAAGCAATGGAGACACACCTCAAAGTATCCCCACAAAAACCAAGACAAGAAATTGCACACAATAGACTTTAATTTGCGTATTTTCACAATTTCATGAATGTAAACAAAGAATTTCAAGACTGCGTCCGCCATGTTTGTTGGCAACCGAAAGTAGAGGCTAGTCTCGATTGTCACCCTACGGAAGCTCGATAGACGATCAAGCCTCGATTGTCACACAGTGTAACTTTCTCATAGGCCAAACCGCCCCCATGTCATTTCGTCCCTGGTAATTGAATTGGTCTTGATACGACTCTAAGACGATCTTTAGACACTTTTTACCAAAGGAAGAGGTAGTTTGAACAACTGAAAATGTGTGCAGTCGTAAATGATTAAAGGATTCGCAAGTTTTATCATTTTTTTCATGAGGCGCTGGGGCGAAGTGGTAAAGGGGGGCGAAGTGACGTTAAAACACCTTTATTGACTCTTAAATCTGAGAGCTAGCGACAGGAAAACATAACTCAGTCCATACTAAGCCGCCTCCAGACTACAATTAACTAGCTAATTGACCCATTCGACTCTATTTTGCTAATTAGCGGGAAAACTAACGAATCTACCACAAATTCAGGTCTTTTATACATGGAACTAGATTAAAGAGGTGTCCAGTGTTAAACTTAAGAGGCATAAAATCTGCCAGAGTCGCTGCCAAAGTGTGGAGTCTCGATTTGTTTACAAATATGTTTGATATAAGCAACCACCAAGTCAAACATGACTGGCAACTAAGAGTATACACATCCCTTAAACACCGTTTCATTTTGTGGGGGATGGGGCCCCTATTTGCAAGGAAGAAGCAGGCTTAATTGATTTTTTTTTGTCATTCATTCTGTTGCTTTCTTTCCTTTTTTTTTTTCTTAAATCAAAATAAAAACAAATAATTCTTAGGCTTTTTTTTTTTTTTTATTTCTCTATGTCTTAATATATGAATTTTCGTTTATGATTTGCGGAACTCAGACAGGAAATGAATGGGGGGTTTACGGCGTACATTTCTGCAGCTGCTAATGAAGACGGGCTATACTGCCCACCATGCAGTGTGCAATAGGGGAAATTTGCCACCACACAGGCAGTAGCCTACAAGTTTGTTCGAGATTGAATTGTTGAGGGATCTTTAACACGCGCAGCCTGTAGCACCCTGGGCAAAAGGTTTTATTGTTCCCTTCGAAAGACTGCGCCTGTTGAATCTAGAGTCTACT